CACTGTGGGAAAGGGAGGCCTTGGCATCCTACGAGCAGAGCGGCCTCGCGGAGGCGAGCTTGGCGGGCGACCTGGTCGAGGGCGAGGCGCCGCAGGCGCTCGAGGATGAGATCGGGCAGCTCGTGGAGGGTTTTATTCAGGAAGCCCAGGCTCAGGAGGAGGAAAGGATCGCGCGTGCGGCTAGGAGGGAGGAGCTCATGCTCGAAGCCGAGAAGAGGTTTAGGGAGGAGGAGGAGGAGAGGCGAGCCAAGAAGCTAAAGCTAGAAGAAGCCCGCGAGAAGCTCGAGGCCGAGCGCCGCGCAGCCCAGGAGAAGCTCAGGGAGCGCCAAGCCCAGGAGAAGCTCGCGGCCGAGGAGCGCCGCCGAACCCAGGAGAAGCTCGAGGGCTTCCAGGAGAAGCTAAAGGAGGAGCGCAAAGCCCAGGAGAAGCTAGAGGAGGAGCGCCAAGCCCAGGAGAAGCTCGAGGCTGAGCGCCGAGCTCAAGAGAAGCGCGATGAGGCCAAGCGCCATGCCCAGGAGAAGCTCGAGGGTGAGAGCCAAGCCCAGAAGCAGAATGTCAAGGGGGCGTCCGATCCCGAGCTTGAGGACGTCAAGACCGAGGAGACTGAGGTTGAGGGGGCCAAGGATAGCGGCTCGAGCGCTTGGATCCCCTTCGTGGGGGGCCTCTTGGGGGAGAACAGGCGCAAGAAGAAGAGGAAGAAGGAGGCCCGTGGAGAGGGCCACGACACCGCGGCAGCAGCGACTCCAGCAGTGATCGACAGGGTTCCTGAGTGGCTCAACCCGCAGACGGCGGCCACAGCGCTGGCAGCAGGCAAACCGACGGCAAAGGGCAACGCGAAAGCAAAAGGGAAGGCAAAAGCGAAAGCAAAAGGGAAAGCGAAAGGCAAAGCGAAAGCAAAAGGGAAGGCCAAGCCGAAAGCGAAAGGCAGAAGGCCTGCGGCAGCTCCTGGCGGAGATGACGAGGACGACGAGGATGAGGAGGAGGAGGAGGAGGAGGCTGCAGGTGACGATGAGGAAGAGGATGAGGAGGAGGAGGAGGAGGAGGAGGAAGAGGCAGCAGCCGACGCTGAGATCGAGGCCGACGATAGGCAGGGTGAGTGCACTGTGGGCGGCACCGCCTACGAGCTGAAGGTGATCAAACGGGCGTCGGAGAAGCTCTCGACGATTGGCTACCGCATCAAAGTTTCTGATGGCAAGGTGAACACGTTCAAGCAGCTGACGTCGGTGGCCTTGAAGGTCTTCGGCGATGAGGCCTCAAGCTTGGCAGCTCACAGGGCCGAGGAGTGCATGATCAAAACGCTGAAGCACATCCTCACGATGCCTGAGGTGAAGGAGCTAATCTTCGTCAAGCCCGACTTGGTGAACAAGGGGCCTGCGAACACGGCCAGGGATCTGCATCGTGACCTGCTGCTCTGCGGCACCTGGGGGAGGGCGTCCTCGGAGGCGCATGGATGCAGGTGGAGGCGAGGTAATGCAATCAACGTTGGAGGTGATGCCATGCATTGATGGTTGGAGGTGGTCATAGAGTAAACGGGTCTGCATTATGTTTGTCACCCTCCCCTGGCCCCCCTCCTTGCCTGACCTCCTCTCCTCCCAAGTGGAGGGTCGGGGAGGGGAGTTGATGGGCCTTCCTGAAGATCGGCACGGTGAGCACCATCACCATTATATACGCTGCTCCGTGCGAGGGATTGGGGAAGGCCGCCCATTGCTATGGATCGAAAGCAATTGTGAGGAGGGGGGGAGGGAAGATCAGGAGGGGGAAGGCGGGAAGGAGGGATGAGGGACCAGAAGGGGGAAGGCGGGAAGGAACGAGCGAGGGGGCACGAATTAAGGAAGGATGAGGGAATGGAGAGGCCCAGAAACGCATGCGAGCCCACGGAGTGGAGGTGCATATATTCGAGGCCGACGTGCTCATCATATGAGGTGGCAGGATGTTCAGCGGGCTAGGCTTCGGATATTTGCCGAATGTCATTTTAGGGTCCAGCACCCCGATCCGATCGATAACGAGTTGGGAACGATAGCGATTGTTTGATAGACTGGGCCTTCGAATCACGATTTTGATAGCAGATCATTGCTCGATCGAACGACCCTCGATGCTAGCAGCGACTTATCTTTTGTTGCAGGACCTGCGCACGAGCCCTGGTCGGGACTCAGGCCGCAGTTCCGTTGGCGCCTGAACGCAATCACTTGTGGGAGAGGCGGATCGAAAATAATGTATGCAACCTTGCCTTGGAGTCGAGTGTGATTGTCGATATTCGCTGCGTGTGTTTCTCGAGCCTCTGCGGGTCGACGCGTGCAATTCTTCCATATGTGGTGGCTCACCTACTTGCGTTGTTGGCGCATTGTTATAAATATCTACTGGTCAATTGCAGCACCTGCTCGAGCTTAAGTTCCGAGATCGAGCAACCGCGTCCCGACGTGCCCGCGCGCTTGCAGCAGGCGACTGAGGCCCAGGCGAATGGGGGGACTGGGGCTGATTAGTATCAGTGGCAACCGATGTGATATGATAAGTCGGGGGCGGCATAGGGCCGAGGGGGAGCAAGTCGGCATAGGCGGTACGACGCACAGATCGGCATGGCGCGGGGGCAGGTCAGATAGAGCTAAAGGGGTAGGGGGCATTGGGGAAAAGCATCGCTCACGTTCGAATTCACTGGTGCGGGGCCGTTAATTACGGAGGGAGGGGGAGGGATATATTGTAATAGGATCGTCCAGCAGCTCGGGCAAAATCTAAGAGAGAGCGGGAGGGGGTCATGATGATGAGGAGGGGGCCGATGGAGGCGGAGCAAAAGGGGAGAGGAGGAGGGGGTAGGAGGAGGAGGGAGCGTAGTAGAGGAGGGGGTGGCAGCTGAGATCGAGTTAGGCCTGGGTGCTCCAGATACCGATATCGTTTTTCCCCGACAACAATTCCCCATCCTATGCATATACATATACACATGTATATGTATATTAAATGTATACACGCATATATGTGTTTATATATATATGTGTGTGTGTGCGCGGTTGTGGTCCAGGGCCCCGATCCCCACCCCCAGCAAAAACAGTTCGTATATTGCCCCCCCCTGTGCAGGAGAGCAGGGCGCCCCCCCCCCGTGCCGCCCAGGTGCACCTGGGCATGACCGCGCCGACGCTCAACAACCTGGACGGATCACACCAGCTTTTTTTTACACCACTACTACTACTGCATTTGCGCACATGTGGTTGGTTGGGTGGCTACTCTGGCTCGCTGGCTGGCTCTTCGTAGCTTCCGTCGTGCTCGTGTTGGTTTGAGCGTAGCTGCGTGGCTGACGGCTGTCTGCGTCCATGATTTTTTTTTGTGTTGGCTTTGCTTTTTTGGCTCTGTTTCCGACGCGATGTCGGTTTTCTGGCTTTCGTGGGCTTCATGGTTTTCATGGTTTTCATGGTTTTCATGGTTTTTATCATGGTTTTCATGGTTTTCATGGTTTTCATGGTTTTCATGGTTTTCATGGTTTTCATGGTTTTCATCATGGTTTTCATGGTTTTCATCATGGTTTTCATGGTTTTCATGGTTTTCATGGTTTTCATGGTTTTCATGGTTTTCATAGTTTTTCATCATGGTTTTCATGGTTTTTATCATGGTTTTCATGGTTTTCATGGTTTTCATGGTTTTCATGGTTTTCATGGTTTTCATGGTTTTCATGGTTTTCATGGTTTTCATGGTTTTCATGGTTTTCATAATGGTTTTCATGGTTTTCATGGTTTTCATGGTTTTCATGGTTTTCATGGTTTTCATGGTTTTCATGGTTTTCATGGTTTTCATGGTTTTCATGGTTTTCATGGTTTTCATGGTTTCCATCATGGTTTTCATGGTTTTCATCATGGTTTTCATGGTTTTCATGGTTTTCATGGTTTTCATGGGTTTCATGGTTTTCATGGTTTTCATGGTTTTCATGGTTGGTTTTCATGGTTTTCATGGTTTTCGCTCTTCCTCGGTCTGGAAAATTTAATCTACCCCACCCTCCAAACCGCCACCACCGCGCGCCCCGCGTCGGCGCCGCGCCGCGATTTCTCGCGGCGGAGCGGCGCCGCGCGCTTGCGCTTGCGCTTGCAGCAGGCGACGAGGCGGCGCTGCGACGTGACTTGGATATTGCCGAAGAAAAAATATCTGGGGTGGGCAATGGGGGGAACGATCGATATCCCGCAGGGGGGCCTCCTCCCCCCCCACCACGTTAATCCAGGCCCCCCCCCCCCCCCCCCTCCCGATCATATATGCCCGCGTTAACGTGTACTTCGTGCCCCCGCGCACCCTCCCCCTGGGCCCTGAGTGGGCCCTCGGCCCCATTAATGTGGCGGGATGTATATAATATACGTGTGCATATATATACACACACACTTGCCGATCCATTCCAATGATCGGCCGAGACCTCGCCCATCGAGCGGGGCGGGGGAAGTGCGCGCATGCGCGCGCGTGCACGCGCGCGCGCGCATGCGTATACATACACAGGCATATATATGTGCGTGGAGGATGAGGTGTAGAGGTAGCATTGGGGGGGCGGAGGATCGGCGCGGGCCAGATCAGGGGGGGGAATAGAGGGTATAGCTTGCAGCGGCGGGGATGTGGATCGGTGTGTATATACATATATGTACATACATATATATGTTTATGTGTTCTAAAATATGAGCCGAAAGCGCTATATATATGATCGGCCGAACCCTCGCCCACTAGGAGACTCTGTGATATATGCGGAGGATGGGAAGGATGGGGGACGGGGAATCGGAGCGGGTTTGATCAGGAGAGGGGACTTCACAGCGGATCGAGGGGATACTGCATGCATGAGCACTTGACTTGGATATTGCGTGACCGACGTCGTCGACGTCGACGTGGTTGTTCTAGCCTGCAGCGACCCGCCGACCGATCGAGCGAAACATGCGACGAACGCCCTTGGGGGGCTTATCTTTGATTTTTTAGAATTGGTCAGGGCGGGCTGAAGGTTTTTATATTTTCGTCATGTACTGATCTTCACATGGACCAGGGGAGGCGCCATGGTGGCGACCGCCAAACCGAAGCCACGCGGCGGTGGCCCAAAGAAACCCGCCCGCGACAACCTTAAGAAGGACAAACGCAAGACGGACGCCCAGCATGAGAACGACATGCAGCGCCTCCGGTGCCGATTTTTGTTTCGAGGGGGGAGCTCAGGAACACGAATGTGTGAGAGAGGTGGATGATTGATCAGTGGAGGAGTAGGAGAAAGAACAGGAGGAGGGGGAGAATTATGCTGAGCAGTTGAGCGGGTTCCTTGTCAGAGATAAACGTTTCCACTCATGCTTAATCCCAGCCGCTATTTTGGGCCGCTCGCCTCCTCATTTCCCCCTGCTGCCCCTTATCTTTGCTATTGTGGTCTCCGCGATCCATCCCCCTCCTCAATCCACCCCTCAATTCCACCTGCTGCCGCCGCCCCAGAATTCCCCCTATAGGTGGAAGTTGAACCAGGCGAAGCCCGAGGTGAAAAAGTTTTACAAGATGCAGAGCCGCCAGGAGAAGCTGAAGTTCATGGAGCGCTTCCAGAAAGAAGGCCCGCCTATATGTATTGCTTTGTTTGTTTTGGACACAGCATCGCAGCAAAATGCAACAGGAGTTTCTTATTGCAGTATGTCCTTCAACGCTTTGAGTGGTGTTGTTTGTTGTGAACACAGCGAAATGCATGCTTACAGTATTGTAGTTACTTATTGCAGTATGCCCGTCAACGCTTTGAGTGGTAAACTCCCAACGCCCGCGCAATTGAAAAATGCTGTGTAGGCAACTTTGACTGGGTGGTCACTGAGAAGCAGGAGCAGCAGGGCGACATGAACGAGCACGGCCACGACGGGAATTGGTACAATTACGATATGTTAATGGACCACTTCAAGTGGTCGCCGCAAAACGCCAACACGGAGTTCGGAATGAGGAGATTTGTTTTTTTTTTTTATTTCAGGGGTTCGTCATGAGGGCCATCAGCTTGCCGCTCGCATTTTGTGGATTGTTATTTCAGGATCTGTGCGCCCTCTCACCTCGCGTGCCCTGCACCTCCCCACCCTCCAGCCGACGTGATCGGCCCTCCTCCGATTGCCCGTGGCCGCCAAAAATACTCTCGCGTGCTGCGCGCTCCGCAGGGCGAAGGCTCGTGCTGACGCAGTGGCGCGCCACTGCAAAGCTCTGAAGATGACATCGGATGGGAGGGGGTCGGCGGCAAGGGGCGGGGGGAGGATGAGGGGGAGGATCAGAGATGTATTTTACAAATCCAGATTTTTAAGTGTGTATATATAGATATATAGATATACATATGTATATAGGTGGAGGGGCGAGGAGGTGGAGGACGAGAAGTAGGTGGAGGATGTTTGGGTATGCAGTGGCGTGCGTGGGAGGAGATTGGACATGGAATGCCGACCAGTGTGTCGCGCAAGCGTCTGGGTTGCGCTCTCGATCGATATCGCTATGCTCTCCATTGCGCCACCCATCAAAGAAACCATATTCGGGGAGATTGACGCCCAGACGGGTGACGTGACCTACCGCCGCTTGACTAAATTCGATAAGGACTACCAGGAGCACATTTTTGTTATTTTGCATGGGCGGGGCGAGGATTGATCTGGTGGGGGGCAGGTGGGCAGTTCGTGAAGGAGTGGAAAACCACATACATGTAGCATAACAGGGAGTGTAATTGAGATGCCGTTGCAAGTTGATACCACGTCTTGCCTATATTCTGTATTGCTTGACCTCTCCCGTGATCTCCTGGGGTTCCCGACCGCCCGTCTAAAACCATATCTCTAGTACCACGGGAAGAGCATCTCGACAACCTTCAAGACCGACCCGAAGGGGATGGACGACGTGAAGAAGGAGAGGAAGGCGCTGCCCCAGGAGCCCCGTGCATGGGGGTCCTTTGGAGAGGCTACAGGACGAGTTCGGGGCCCCATCCCAGGATAGGTCGGGGAGGGGAAAGGTGAGGGAAGGAACGGAGTGGAGGGAACCGATCGGAGGTAAGAGAAGGGGATGGGGAGTACGATTGCCACGATCGATGTGAGGCTGGCCCAGCAGAGAAGATAGATCGATTTCAGAGGTTGCCTCAAGCTTTTTCCACTAGTCGTTCGCATCCCACCTAGCTTGAGCTGCATTGTGATCGGGCAGAGGAGTCCAGCTACTCTTCCTACTCGGACTCGAGCGACGAGTCGGAAGGCCATGGCGACAAGCCTGGCCCAGCCTATCCAGCTCGCTCGTCGCTGGCGAGTGGCTCCAATCCTGACGCTGACTTGCTCGGGCAGCTTGTCAACACGAAGACCTTGCTCAAGGGGCTCAGGGTCGAGGCGAACCCGTGGCTGGCCCCCTTCAAGGCCAGCATCGCCGATAACCTGAGCGTGCTCGAGGCGTGCGAGGAGACGATCACAGCCAAAATCCAAGGGAGGTTCTTGGCCCAGGGTGGTAGGCATCAGATCGATCCTCGATTGCACGACCGACGTGTCAACGTCGCTGCCCATTCCCAGGGGACCAATCGAGATAAGATCCTGGGCATGTTTTCGAAAGACTGATTCACATGATATTCCTCACAATCCCTCCCCACCTTTGATTCCATGCTATCTGTTCCTTTTCAGCACTTGTCTCCTGCCGCCCCCACGTACTGTTTCGGCTTCTGTGTCCAATCATCTTCCACGATGCTGCAAGGGCTGGCCTCCGGCACTTTCGGCCGATCGGACGTGCCCCCGATCTAGCTCGCAGGTGTGTTCCGAGGCAGGTTAGAAGGCTAGCAACACGCTATCTCCCATATGTTTCTCCGTCCATCATTATCTCTCTCTCTCTCTCTCTCTCTCTCTCTCTCTCTCTCTCTCTCTCTCTCTCTCTCTCTCTCTCTCTCCTTCCCTGTCTCTCTCTCTCTCTCTTTCTCTCGATCTGTCTCGGCGGCGCGCCCTGCCCAGGTCGATCGAGAACGCGATGGAGAAGAAAGGGATCACTGCGAGCCTCGAGGAGGCTCCGCTCCAGCTTGCGGCTCATGCTTGATATTTCTTGCCCTCGCTTTCCCTCTTTCTTCCCTCGCTTTCCCTTTTCTTCCCCACTTATTCCCTTCGCCTTCACCTCTTCTCCCCCTCTTCTTCCCCCCATACTGACCCGCTGACCACTTGAGCCCTAGAGCCACCGCAGGAGGAGGCGGGGGTGGGCACTAAGTTTGACGCTAAGGTGGGAGGGAGGCGGAGGAGGGGGAGGAGGAGGAGGAACTTGCCAGGGCAAATGTCGCTGCGCGCCCAGAGGCCAAAGACCTCTGGAAGAACCTCTCCCCAATCATCCAGAGCATGGAGAGCGCCCAGAAGGCCTTGGCCAAACCTTGAGGCCGCTAGGCGCTAGGCAGGCTTCGCTTCTTGCAGGGGGGGGCAGATTCAGTGGACTTAAGGGGGGCAGGAGCCAGAAGCGAGTTCGGTCTTTGCGTGCAGAGCCCGCGCCTTTCTCACGGGCACGGCCGAGCGGTAAGCCGCGCGTGCGCGTGGAGCTTGCTCGAGATTGGTGCTCGCACTCGATTCGTCTGAAAGGGATCCCGAGCCGCGTTCTTGGCACCGCGGGGGAAGCAGTGGACGCTTGGGGGGACTTGAGGGAATTCCTGCCATGCTTTTTCCCTGGGCCCGCGCTCTCCTTCCACCCATCCTCTCAAGGCCTTCGCCCATTCGCTTCCCCCCTTCTCTCCCGCCCCCATCCCATGGAGTGCCAGTTTCTCCGAGGCCGCTCTTTGATGATGCGGCTGCTCGAAGCGAGAGTCGAGTTCGCACGAACGTTCGGCCTCGATTCGGTTTCGTGGAGGCCTCACTTCTAACCCCCACGCCGCGTTGAAGAGAATGGGCAACGACTCGAATTTCATTCGATATATTTGAGAATATGGCCGCTTTCAGATATGCTCGAGCCCCAGATCCCATGACTTTCTCTCCCTCCCGTTTCTCTGGGCGCTTCTTCTGGGAGGGGCAGGGGAGGGCGGCTGCAAACGTAGACATTTGCATCAAGATGTTTCGCAGTCATTTCTCCTTACTGTGTCACTTTCAGTTTCACTTACTTTGCTTGTGCTTGAGCGCGATGTCTAAGTTTGCAGCCGCCCTCCAGGCAGTTGAGCATGAAACTGCACTGAGTGGCAGCGGGCCACGCGGCGGGCAGACTGCAGAGACATTTGCGGCATTCGAAGAAGGGGGCAAAGGATTTCGCTCGTTTCTTCTGAAGGAATACAAGAGCGGCCGTATGTCCGCGAGAGCTTTGGCCACTACTTGTTTCTGGGCAGCTAGGGCCGGAGCACAGGGCATCAGTGACTTGTCGTTGCATCCAGATAACACCCACGCAGCAGAGCACATTAGAAAGGCAATAAACGCGCGTGCCCAGGAAAGCTTTTACATAGTGAAACTCCCTTTATGGGATAAAGATCTCAACAAGAGAAAGCTTGTGGATTTCCCTGTCAACCTCCCGCACGAACAATTCGCTGCTAGTTTCGCGGAGTGCCCCGAGGCGTGGGATCCATCCAACCACGACTCAGAGAACTTGCCACCGACGTGGGACGAGAACCCCGTGGTGCAGAGAAACCCTGGGCACACAGCCCCCGTTGGCTATTTTAGCGACGCTGTGCCCCATACAAAGCGGGATTCATTCTTTGCGTATTACATGAGTAACGGTTTGTTAGGGCAGCGTTTTTTGTTGTGCAGCGTCCGTAAAACAGACCTGTGTGACTGTGGATGCAAGGGGTATTGCACATTGGGAGGGCTCTTAAGAGTGTTTGAATGGTCGTTCTCGGCACTGGCGGAGGGGCGGTACCCGTCCACCAGGCATGACGGCGGGCCGTGGGACATGAACAGGTTCATGTTGAGAGACATGCACTTAGCAGACGGCTGGGTTGCCGCCCTTACCGAGATAAGGGCAGATCTGTTGGAAATAACCTCTGCCCTGGGGTTCAAGAACTGGCAAAACCCTACCGACCCGTGTTTTGTTTGTTCATGTGCGAAAAACGACTTATTCAATTACCCTGATAGAATAGAAAGTTCAAAGTGGTTCAGAAAAGATAAAACGATATATGAAGCCATGGTGGCGGCGTCAACGGTAGAAGTACGAATAGATTCACAAGCAAAGTTGAATGGACTTTTACGCAGCATGCGGTTTGACGACGAATTTGGCGGGTACGCGTTGTGGAAAGAATATACCCCCCTCGGCCTCAACAAGGGGCTTCGGTTGCTAGAGTCTCAAGCCGTCCCTGACATCCACAAGGTCCGTGAGACAGTCCTCCCGGCCACCTTCAAGTTTTTCGATACCAAGAACTCTTACGGACTAAACTTGGTATGTCCATTGTTCAACGTGCCAGGCGTGAGCGTGCAGAGCATCCATTTGGATGCTATGCACATATTAGACCTTGGTGTCGTGCAGTTTGTTATCGGAGCGGTTTTTTGGGCCCTCGTTTCAAACAATTTCGCAAGATCAAAGGCGTCGACGGCGAAGCAAAGATTGCACCAGAACCTACTCCACTTACGTCGGCGCATGAAGAGTTATTATATCAGCACCAAGGCCTTGAGGACTGAGGGGGATTGCAGCCGTGTGAATAGAATCACACTTAAAATGTTCCGTCCAGGCAAGAAGAACAAAAACCCGCGGCTTGCCGCAAAAGCTGCTGAAAGCAGGCACCTCGTGCCGCTCTTGCCGTCGCTGTGCCAGGAATCGTTTGGTTTCCTTGGTGCACGGGCTGGCTTCTTGCTCCGGGCTTGCAAGCAGCTGGCCAAGGTGTACGAGGCGACCTCGCAACAGCCTCGCCGCTTGGCACCTTCGGCGGTAGTTGCGCTCCAGAGGAAAATTGAGAATTTAAATGTTGCGCCAGTGGGGCGAGGCGGGGAGCGGGGAGAGGAAAGGGGCTATTAGTTAGAACTGGAGGGGGAGAAGGAGGGAGAGGAGGAGGAGGATGGGGGGGAGGAGGAGGAGGGGGAGGAGGAGGAGGAGGAGGAGGAGGAGGAGGAGGAGGAGGAGGAGGAGGAGGAGGAGGAGGAGGAGGGATGCAACATTTGAGTTCCAAGGTTCCTAGAGAAGAGCATGCTCGGATTCCTCCACGCGTGGAAGTCCTACAATGGACACCAGGTGTACAAGTTTCACTGCGCGTTCCACTTAGTGGAACAAGTGGTGGAGAAAGGCAACCCGCGGTGGTACTGGACCTACGCCGACGAGGCCGAAAACCGCCTCATGGGGACGGTGGCGAAGAGCCTCCACGGGGGGGACACATTTTACCTGACATTCTTACAAAAGGTCCTGCCCGAGGCGACTCGGTAGGGCCTCTTGTAAGATGTTGGGTAAAATGCGCCCCTGCCCAAAATCAAATATGCAGTGGAGGTTTTCGCCCAGTCCCCACGGGGCGGTATTTCGGCTCGTTAGGGTAGGCCAGTGTTGCCGCAGAGGGGATTAGAGGGTAGGGGAAGAGGCGGACGAACCCGTACAGATTTGCATTACCGACGTGTTCTGGTGATGGGTTGCCTTTCTGCTACCCGCGCGCTTGGCAAACTGCAGTCTGTCCGCCGAGGAATAACATCAGCGCAAGGGCAGGGTCAGGAATCATCAGCAGGTGTACCTCCCTCCACCCACTCACGCACCCGAAGGTTTGGATGAGGCCGCTTGGACATTTGCTCCTCCCATCTCTCCTGCGCTAGCTCAGGGCTGGGGGCTGGACGCGAGCAGGCAGAGTCAACGGAAGGCGGACGTCGAGCATGCCACCCTGGCGGTGGGCGAGGATATCGCGCCGAATATCCCAGACTTCCGTCGCATTATTTTTTTTTGAAATGCCATCCCCTGGAGCGTTCGACCTCATGGTTTGCTTATCGCCGACACGTTTTTTCCCTGGCGGGCATTGGCCCCAAAAACGGCCTCCAGGGGCCGACCGCTTGAAAAACGGCCGTCCCAATGTCGGCATGACGTGACCCGGGCCCGCCCCTGGGAGAAGTGCGCTCTCTTCCCGTGACTCGTGCATGAAGCTTCGCGTGGCAACACGCATACAACGAGGAATTTCAAAGAATTCCTTGACCCCCTGCCAGTACTAGCTATAAGATTTACGTAGATGTACATATATGTTACTCTGTGTGCTTTACAGCCGCATGGTTTGCAGCAGTCAGTCGCTAAACCATTGCGTGTGATACTTGCGCAGACGTTCTGCTGCCATCCTCGACTGCGAAGAAATGCAGGAGAGGGCATGTGAAACATTATGCGTGCGACCCTGCGGTTTGCAAATATGATTAAAACCTTAACACGTGCGACGCTGCGCTCGGATGAAACTGCGCGCGTGCGTCCCTCTGCGTTGAGTTCCACGACGACATACCACCGCGTATTCTACTTGTACATGATAGTCTGGGTATGATTCTCTCCGCATCAATGAATTTACACACATTGCATTCCGCTGATTATAAGCGTTACCATTGCAATAAATACGAACCACCGTGTATACGCCACCCATGAGTGTTAAAGAGTATGTGCATTACTTAATACAATTACAAACAGTTGTGTGACCATTATCACATGGCGCAATACGACAATGGATGTGCACACACAACTATGCAAATATGCTCTAAGTAAGCTATATGCAAAGACTCGATGCGGGCGTCTCAATTTACGATGCGCGTCTTCGGCGTGCCTCAATTTATGTCGCGCGTCTCAATTTATGTCGGCCGCCCCAATTCGAAATTGAAGCGTGTCCAACCGTCTCAATTTATTTGAAGCGGTCGGATGTCTGGGTGAGGGCCTTCTCTGGGGCGGAGAAGAAGAAGGAAACCGGAGCCGGAACCGGAACCGGAACCAAAACCGTAACCTGGAAGGTTTTCTTTGGGACCCCGAAGAAGAAGGAAACCGGAACCAAAACCGGAACCGGAACCAAAACCGTGACCTGAGGGTCTTCTCTGGGGCGAAGAAGAAGGAAACCGGAACCGGAACCGGAACCAAAACCAAACCGTAACCTGGAAGGTTTTTTCTGGGACCCCGAAGAA